ATCCTTATGAATTGCTGCCCAACTTGAAATGTTCATTCTGTTTACTTCAGTCCTCTGCCCTAAAAGCAATCCAGGCAGGTCATCCAAAGTCCTGTGTACCAAAACACTTTAGTAGCTCCCAAGTGCTTAGGGAGAGAGCTGGGCAGTGTCGAAGGAATACTGGTGAAATAGTCAACAGCTCTATTTTCTATCTGGGCTCTGAAAGTTTTGGTTGATGGATGGTGACATCACAGAGACTCAATTTCTTTACCTGTGTTTAAATTAGATACCAAACAGAAAAACAGGACCGTGTGCTTGACCTCACAAGAGAACACTACAAATGTCAGCTTGGATGTGGTAGAACAGCAATCAGTAGAGGCTGAGGAGGCAGGGGATGAATGAAGGGAGGTTGGATGGCAAGTACCAAAGCAGGGATTGAGTATAGCTTATAACAGACTATTCCATGTTTTTATGAAGACCTAGCAGGGAGGATCCCAAAGGCTCCAAACACAAGGAGTAAGAGGGAAATACCGATTGCCTTGCTTTGATCAGTGTAAGACGGATGCATGTATTGAAATATCACACTGAGCCCCGTTAATGTGAATAGCTACCCAGTAGGTAGTTTCAGGTAAATAGGAGAAGTTCTGGATACTATTGTGTGGTAGGGTAACTATGGATAGACATAGTGAAACATAAAAATATACACACAGCTAATATATTTTATCAAAAAATAAATGGGGAAAAACAGTTCATGCGTGTAGAAATTAAGGTCTATAAGATGAAGAGGTTTTTGAATGTGATGTTTTAGGTTAATATACAGAGTGCTGGGTTTCACCTGGCATCTTCATACCCATGTGATATGCTTTGCTCTCATTTGTTCCCCTTCCCCAAGGCCCTCCACCATCCATGTCTTCCATGCACCTTGTTCCCTTTGTTCCCCCATTAGTCTCAACTTCTGCTTTCTCAGTGCATTTATTCCATCACCTTCTAAAGCTCCTCCCCGCCACAGAAGCTCTAGCTTCCTTCTCCCAGTCCCCTTGCTAGTCTCATGATCTACACACACACACACACACACACACACACACAATTTTAAATTTATGTTCTGCATAAGAAGACACATCATTTGTCTTTCTAAACCTGGCTTATTTTGCTCAACATAATGATTTTTTAAATGATACCCATTTTCCTGAAAATGTCATGATTTCATTTTTTATTTATTGCTGCATAAGATCTATTATGTTCATTTTCTTTATTCATTCATTCGTCAATGAATATCTAGGCTGGTTCTATATATTGGCTGTTGTAAGTAGTAAAGCATAAAGTGTATGTCCTCTTAAACATTTGTTTATTCTTCATGTGTGTGTGTGCACTCTTGTGCCCACCTGTTTACCACAGTATGCACGAGGAGGCTACAAGACAACTTGTGGGAGTCAGTTTTCTCCTTCTGACATGTGGGCTCTGGGCATGTAACTCAGGATTTAGGTTTGACAACAGGTTTTACCTGATAAGCCACGCATTGACCCAAAACATAGGTCCTATGACACATAGAATATAGAGCCCTGATCTTGTTTTTCTCTTTCTCTTTCAGTTCCTTGAATTTGTAATCCTAATTACAAGGCCAGGTTCAAGTGTGATCTCTTTCATAAAGGCTTGATTTTCACAGTCAAATTTAATTTCCTCACTCGTGTTTCCTATAGAAGTAGTTCTGTATCCTTGATATTTCAATTTCTCCTCTCTGTTGTGCTCTGGGTAGTAGTTATGTCTATCTACTTAACCATCTTGATAGGTAGGTACTGTGTGTTATATGCGTTTCTATCACCACAGCGATCAGTTAGTTTGTTGTTATCCCCACTTTTATAAGTGACTCAAGCAAGGTAGAGGAAACCATTTGCTGAGCTCATGTTATCTTTTAAGTGGCAGGACGATCCTTGTCTGCCCGACATCCAATCTCAGGCTCTTAGTGCAGCCTAGGCTTCTCCACTCCGTCTTAAGGACTCTTCAATAAATACTTGTGAGGTGAGTAAGCAGACATCTTGAACTTCCTCAGCCTTCTTTCCCTACTATAGAACTGTGTCTGTCTTCATTTAGGAATTGTGAAGTATGTAGTCATCTAGAAGACATAGTTTCCGGTGTCCATGTTGACCGTCTTTTGCTATTGAGAATGTTACGGTAACTTTGTATTTTTTTTTCCTCTTCCTTAAGGCTTTTATAATTCTCACAACATCAGTTAATGGGTCTTACTCATCAGGATAAATCCATAGTGTCAACTCCTCAGTGCTTCCTCTAACTTCTGAGATGTGACCTTCACTATTACATATCCAATTATGATGAAAGCCATGCTGAAGTCCTCTGCTGTTGAAACAATGCTTAGTGGACACTTGGCATGGGCCCCTGGGCTTGCCTTCACTCTGCTTGCTTGTTTACCTTGGACTGGCTCTTTTGAGTTGGACCTCTTCCTAATTACCCTTGCTTCTGGCCTCCTACCAGTCCCTGGCCATCAGGTAGCCAGCTCCAGGATTCAGTCCAGCTTGGTTTTAGGGCATATATCACCCTGTCCTTTGACAAATTAACTTCTAGTTTTTTAATCTGTTCCTAATAAATATAATGACTTCTATAATGGTTCCCTGACTTATTAGTAACAATGTCTAAAATTGACATTTATTGAGTGTTTATATTATGACAAGCACTGGGCTAAAGTTATTAAATATACTGCTTTTATTTTTTTAAATCTCTGAGTGCTGAAAGCATTTCCATTTGACAGATGAGAACAGGAGACTTTAAATATCAGATGAGGAGACCAGGCTTGATTCCTTATCTGCCTGCTACCAAAATCCCTGGTCCTGATCAGGATGTAGTCACCAGTGTCTTTTCTTACTTGGGACCTGATCATGAATTGGCATTTGTATCTGTGCTATTAAAATTAAATTATCTTGGGCTTGGAGAGATGGCTTGATAGATAGGAGTGCTTGCTGCTCTTGCAGAGGACCCAGGTTCAGTTCCCAAAACCCGAATGGCAGCTCACAATCATATGCAACTCCATTTCCAGGGGATCTAGAATGTTACTCCCAGACTCTGCAAGCACCAGGCATACACACAGTGCAATACATGTATGCAGGCAAAACCACTTATGCAATAAAATAATAAATATATCTTTTAGGATAATAATAAAAAATATTTTATATTCTACTTATGTTTATTATTTGTGATGCTGAGAATGAAACCTGGGGACTCTTGCCTGTTAGACAAATTCTGCACCACTGAGCTACATTGCTAGTCCCATTCAATTATACAGGCAAATACATATAAATTGTTACATAGGTGGCCTTTTATTTTTCTTATTTCAACAAAAGTTGAAAAACTGACCAATAAACTTTAAAAAACTTGCAGTTATTTTTTTATCCTTGGGTTTTAATATTCATAAGGTGCCAACATTAATCATGAATTTTATCGTAATGAAAATAACACAAGTAGAGAACAATATAGCAGGCATTGTCTAAAGTACTTTTCATGTATTATTTCACTGAGCATCTCAGTGATCCGTGAAGCTTGTTGCTACCCTTCCCAGTGGACTATAGAGGTACAGAGATCTTTGCCCTAGGTCCTCGAGCTAACTGTACCTGCATCAAGTAATCAGAAGAACACTTTGGATATGGTCTAATATAGTATGTGTATTTAAATATAATTCATGTGACAATGGGTTAATTATGTTTAAAGTTCTGGAGATGTGGCTCAGCAGTTGAGTACTTGCTGCTCTCCCAGAGGAACCAGTCTGGTTCCCAGCATCGACATGGTGACTCACAATCATTGGTAACTCTATTTCCAGGGGAGCTGATACCTTCTTCTGGCCTCTGTGGGCACCAGGCACACATAGTACACATACATGCATAGAGGCATACATACACATAAAATAAGTCTTTAAAATCTTATTTCTCAGAATTCACTTTTACATTTGATAAATGATCATAATCCAAATTTATTCTAGTTTTTATATTTCCCCTCTGCTTCTTTTATTCATGCTTTGAAAAATTGCATCCATATCAGAACCCTTTTTCAAATAAAGTAAAAAAGAAACAGTTCTTTTATTGTGTAAGCATTCTTAGATTACGTAATGTCATCAAGCATTTCTTTTACCTGTGGGAAAAGAAAGACATATATACATTTCCTGATCTCAATACTTTAATGACATTGGGAAACAAACTATTGCATTTTAAATTTATTTGTACAATGGGATACATATGCAGTACCAGGGAAACTTAGCAAGAAAGGATGCTTGAGTTGAGAATGCTTCAGTAACAACTTTAAGACAAAAATTCCAATGCAAATAGCATTTTTGTCAAGTAAAGGGAATTGCAGGAGGGGAGGGGTCAAAGAGGAGGGAAATGGAACCTGGACAACGAAGGAGTGTCCCCAGTGTGTGTGGGGTGGATCTGGGACAGTTACTGCTGATTAAAAGGTACGGAATTGCACTAGTTATACCTCCGCTTCCACAAGTCATGGGTTGAATTTGCTCCTCGGAACATCAGTCAGGTCAGTTTAAGTTTGTTCCGTGATAGACAACAAGGGTCCTTGGTAGACATATGCAGCTTGCTGACAGCAAGCTCGAGTGTCCTAAATACTAAGAACTAGAAATGTGGAGCAGGCTTCTGCAGCGCCGTAGATGGGTACCCAAGTCAGGCCAGGGGCTTGGGGAAAGTGCTGCTGAAGATGTATCCTGAGTACACTCTTGACGACAATCATTTTCTTCTAAGCATGAGTGGTGGAGTTGTGAACATTTGTTCCAGGGCGAGAGAACAGCGTGTGCGCGAGAGAAGCATGAGAGAACAGGGAAGACAAAGTTATCTAATCCTGAGTGGTAGCACAAGGATGTGAAGCAAGACATCTAGGTTTGGGCAACTAAAGAGGAGCCCTGTGTCCCTGTGTGCTATGCTATGCTGCGGGTTTTTTTTTTTTTGGTTTTTTTTTTTTTTTTTTTTTTTGGGGGGGGGGGGGTTTGCCCCCCCCTTGAGCTTCCAGGAATTTGGTTTTTTTTTTTTTTTTTTTTTTTTTTTGGCAAGGCTAAGAATCAAATGTAGGGCCTTTTGCATGCCATATCTTCATCTTAACTTTAGCAATTTGACTTTTGATCCCTGCTCTAAGCTTTTTGGAAATAGTTGCAAGTGGCAGCCAACCCTTGCCTGACCTTCTAGCTATCCTGTTCCTTCCTGGCTTTCATGCTTCCAATGCCCAGGACCTCTAGAAACCACTTCGAGCCTCCCTCAGCCCCTGCCTGTCATTCTGAGTCTTACCATGAAGAAAGATTCAGAATAATGGGAGGTAGCAGTTGAAAGGCCCGGAGCACTGTGTGCATGAGCAGGAGCACCTTCCTTATGTGGCAGCTCTAATGCCCCAGTTTGAATTTTCTCCACCATACCAAGTACACTCCAAGTATGTAGCCACAACCTTTCCACTCCCATGTGATGCCAACAGGAGGGTACCTGGCCAAGCAGCCTCAAGGAGATGGAGAGTGTTGCGGGGATTGGGACAAGATAGTCATCACTTGGAAGGAGACTGCCTTACCTTTCTGGAAGATGTTCCACCCACTTCAGGTGCCCACTGGAGAGGTGATGGAGGGTGAGAGTTGTCTTCTTCAGAACTGCAATGTACCTCACTGACTCCTGCAGGCCCACCAGCCCAAGTGCCTGGAAACTGAGCACAGGTATGAGCGAGGACCTTCAGCTAGAGTGACTGGCCCCACTACTGCCACTGCTGCTTGCTGGGTCAGAAAACAAATACACCTTGATGCCAGTGCTGGTTCTGCCTAATCCTGCCTCTACCAACTTGAGAATCTGCCTAAGAACCACTTAGGCACGCTGCCTTTGAGCCTCCAAATCTCCTAGGAGTCACCTCTTCCTTCCCCTGGGATTTCACAGGACTTGGGCCAACCCTCCAGCAAGCCCCCATTGTTAGGTTTATGACTATGCTATCATTGTTTTTTTGTTTTTTAAAGATTTATTTACTTATCATGTATACAGTGTTCTGTCTGCATGTGTGCCTACATGCCAGAAGAGGGCACCAGATCTCATTATAGATGGTTTTGAGCCACCATGTGGTTGCTGGGAATTGAACTCAGGACCTCTGGAAGAGCAGGCAGTGCTCTTAACCTCTGAGCCATCTCTCCAGCCCCTATGCTATCATTGTTAGGCTTATGGCTATGTCCACAACTGGGCAAGAACCTGATGACAGCTGTCTCACATTTACAATGTTCTCATTGCCTTGGATTCACCAAATGCTAGAAACCAAGTAAACTGCTATTGTAAGATGCATAAGCTAGGAGGGAGAGGGAACTGAAATTGACATGTAAAAGAAGCTTGTTTCTAATTTAAATTAAAAAAAAAAGATGCATAAGCTAAAGCCAACAAATGCATAGATTAATCTCAGCAAAGATGTTCTATAACAGAGAACTAAAATATAGAGTGTAAAGCAAGGTGATACAGCTCTATAACCCCAGCCCTTGCAAGGTAGAGGCAAGAATGTCACAAGTTCAAGGCCAGGAATGTCAAGATGGCTTGGCAGGTAAAGGAACTTTCTAAGCAAGGCTGAAAACCCAAGTTCAAACCCCAGACCCCACTTAAAGACAGAAAGAGAGTACTGACTCCGTGAAGTTGTTCACTAACCTATACATGTGCACTGTGGCATGCACACACATCCCCAAACACACCACCCAGACAGACAGACAGACAGACAGACACCCAAGGCTGGCCTCTTCTACATAGCTACTTTGAAGGCAGCCTAGGCTACATGAGACCTGCCTCACAGCAAACAAACATGAGGAACATGGAAAGCTTTGTATTATGTTTTTCTACCTAGAACACAGCACTCGAAGCTCATATATTATGGTATATGTCCCATATATTGGGACAGTGTTCAAGAACAAAATTAATATTGTAATTCGTCTAATAGGTGCTCAATTAATAAAATCTGCCCAATTCATTGTGTGTGTGTGTGTGTGTTATAACAAGCAAATCAAGAATGGGCACCTACTCTGGATATGGTGGCACACAAATCCTAGCATTCAGGAGGAAAAGAAAGAGGACTTTCTTAAGAGTTCAAGCCTATCCTGGTCTACATATTTCCAGGACAGCCAGGGATATGGAGAGAGACCTTGTTTAAAAAAAAAAAATGGGGGAAGGGGCATCTGGGGCTAGAGAGATGGCTCAGTGGTTAAGAGCACTGGCTACTCTTCCAAAGTACCTGAGTTCAATTCCTAGCACCCACATGGTGGCTGGCAACCATCTGGTAACCCAGTATAAAGGGATCCAACCAACATCCTCTTTTGGCGTTCACAGGGACTGCACTCATGTGGTTCATAGACATACAAGCAGGCAAAACACCCATACACATAAAACAAAAGTTTTTTGTTTGTTTGGTTTTTTTTGTTTTTTTGAGATAGGGTTTCTCTGTGGCTTTGGAGGCTGTCCTGGAACTAGCTCTTGTAGACCAGGCTGGTCTCGAATTCACAGAGATCCACCTGCCTCTGCCTCCCGAGTCCTGGGACTAAAGGCGTGAGCTACCAACGCCCAGCTGACAAAAATGTTTTAAAGAACAGGCATCTGATGTACTATGACTCTTCAGTGGTCCCTGAGGAAGGAGGTTGGGGAGGAGCCCAAAGGCCCAGAGTTGTTGTCCATGCAGATCCCTTCACTCAGCCATAATCACGAACAAGCGCCACTTGTTCCCTACCTGCCACTGTCCAGAGTTATCTCCCAGTTCAGGCCCCCGATGTTAGTCTCCCAAGAACGCATGATTCGCCCTCCATTGGATACAGTAATTGCATCTAGTAGAGACAAAGCCCACTGTCATTTCCTACACTTGCTCTGCTGCCTCGTAGGAGCTGGAGGCCATGACCCCACCTCCAGCTTATGGACACAAACAGGGATTAAGCAGGAACTGCCCTTCACTGGCAAAAGCATCCCCTCTCTTTTCCCATCAGTCTATACAAAGCAAAGACTCAAGCAATGGGAGATGGCACTCCTTTCTTATGAAAGGATGGCCACCTAATGGAGGCCAGGGAGCCTCTGCTTACCTTGTCCGTGAACCAACATGGCATCCACAGCCCCTTCTGCTGTGCCCTTGTCAACATGACGCCACACTGAAAGATAAGAGAGTCAGACATTGCTGTGACTGTGACCTAATGAGACTAGGAAGGGACTGTGATCTTCATTTACATAGCATTATACAACTTTAATTAGGAAGCAAGGAGTACACTAAGTGCTATGACCTACACCCACTTGCTGAAGAGTAAGGGAAGAGGGTTCAAGAGGCATTGTTTTTCCCATCTGGGCTCTCTTCCCCTCCAGTCCACTACCACCCCATGTAACATACGAAGGAACAACAACAAGATTAACAAAATCTGGTTGGAGAGATAGCTCAGTGATTAAGAGTACAGGCTACTCTTCCAGAAGACCCTGTGCAATTCCCAACACCCACATGGCAGCTAGCAACTGTCTATAACCCCAGTTCCAGAGGATCCAACACCCTCACAATGACATACATGTAGGTTAAACACCAATGCACATAAAATAAAATTTTTAAAAGAATTAATAAATTATTAATTTATTAATTTATTAATAATTAATAAAATCTATGCAATTTCATAAGAAAAGAGTTTATGAATTCTCTTTTCACAATCTAAATTCCTACAAACAATCCGAGCAGCAGGGATAACTCAAAGGTAGTCACCCAAGCCTTTATTGCAAAACATGATAGAAAGTAGCTTTTGAAGTGTTATCTTAGTTAAGGACCTTCAGGGCTGAGGACATTTCAAAGGCCAGTGACACAAATATAGATATTGCAAGATGACAAGTCTAGAGAAGACAAACAAGACGGTAAGCCGTAGGTAATCAGATTCACTTCAGTCAGCTCCCTTCCCACTCCACAGCTCACTCACAGATCTCTCCAGTACGAGAATTTAATGCTGCAATCACATTCTTCTCTGTGGCCACGACCAACTTCTTGGATCCAGGGGAAAATTCTAAGGAGGCAAACTTGAGCTTCCCGACATACTGCTGTCTCCTGAGGAAGAGTGCAAGGGAACATCAGGGCAAAGTCATCACCACTCAGGGACAAATTGCTGGGTTCACACCAGTACCTCTCCCTCAATCTCATGCAAGAATTGTGTGCTAATGAAGAATTCTGACAATCTCTGTGCAATGCACTCAGAAGCAAAAGGAGACAGGAGAGAACCCACCAAACAGATGAGAGATAGTAACAGTCTTCCAGTTAAATGTAACACCTATTGTTCAAGCAACATCTCAAAGAGCCTAATTAACTTTTAGCTGCACCAAACAGACTTGCAGGTACATAGGCTGCACTGAGGAAATTCTGCTATCCGGAATACACTCAACAAACATGGCAGTCAGACTGCATCGCTCATTTAGACCCTGTGTTATTTGGGCATTTTCTTTGGGGGGGGTGTGACTTTTTTTGATTTTTCAAGACAGGGTTTCTCTGAGTAGCTTTGTAGACCAGGCTGGCCTCGAACTCACAGAGATCCACCTGCCTCTGCCTCCTGAGTGCTGAGATTAAAGGCATGGGCCACCATTGCCCAGTCTAGTCTAGTTTTTTTTTTTTTTTTTAAGGAGCTAAATTGGTAGTCCAGTCAAGTTTAGACTCAGTAGTTTTTTGAGGCAGGGTTTCTCTGTGGCTTTGGAGGCTATCCTAGAATTAGCTCTTGTAGACCAGGCTGGCCCCAAACACACAGAGATCCACCTGCTTCTGCCTCCCGAGTGCTGGATTAAAGTCATGTGCTACCATTGCCTGGCTTGTGTGTTTTCTTCTTTAAATAAAATGTATTTATTTTTATCTTGTATGCATTGTTCTTTTGCCTATATGTATGCCTATGTGATGATGTCAGATCTTGGAGTTACTGACAGTTGCAAACATCCATGTGGGTGCTGGGAATTGAACCTAGGTCTTCTAGAACAGTCAGTGCTCTTAACCATTACGCTATCTCACCAGGTGTTGGTGGTGCAGCTGGGCTTGGTGGCGCACGCCTTTAATCCCAGCACTTGGGAGGCAGAGGCAGGTGGATCTCTGTGAGTTCAAGGCCAGCCTGGTCTACAGAGCGAGTGCCAGGATAGGCTCCAAAACTACACAGAGAAACCCTGTCTTGAGAAACAAAACAAACAAACAAACAAAAAAGCTATCTCTCCAGCCCCCCTCTATGAGTATTTTCACGTGTCTTTATTCTCTCTGTGTATAGCCACCAAACAACCCTACCAAGTGTGTAAGACAAATGCCATTGCCTTCATTTCACAGATGAGGAAACCAAACTCCAGAAAGTCCAGGGTTCCAAAATAAGACTTTTTTAAAAATATTGTTGTTCAACTGTATGTCAATTGTCCCCGGAGCATGCAACAGTTAAGCAGCCAAATATTCATTCAAACTGAAGCAACCACGGCCTGAAGCAAGAGGTAAGCGAATGAATGTCTGGCTGATAGGTTTGGAGAGGACACTGTAAGACTGGGGGGCTAAGAGACAACAGCTCGTTCCAGGAGGATGAAACTTCACTGGGGGCTGGTGACCTCTGACACCCAGGAAATCTCAAACCTGACAGCCACAAAATCGGACATGGCAGGAAAGGAGGGAATCAGTGACCTCTGACCAAAAAAAAAAAAAAAAAAAAAAAAAAAAAAAAAAAAAACACTAAAGCATGGCTGGCTGGATGGCAGGGCTGGCTCCATTGCAGTGCAATCTGCAGTCATATACGGGTGGGCAAGAGTTCCCTGGGTGCTTGACTTAATAGTCTCGGGTCGACGCCTTCAAATTCTTCGCATCTGAAGAAGGGACGCAGCATTCATTCACTCTCCTCTCCCGTAAAGGCCCTGCTGTTAAGCTATAAACTGGGTCCTGCTCCATGGCGATCTCTCTCCTGCTAACAGGAGGGAGACAGGTGTTGGGAAAGCAGACACCTACTTCCTGGAGAAGCGTCGCCCATACGCACCAGTCGAACTTGCCCACTTGATCTTCGTAGACCGCGGCCGCAGGGAGAAGCAGCGTAGCCAAGAGCCACAAGCCGGACGCGACAGCGGCCACCATGATTGAAGTGCAAGGGCCGCCCGCAGCCATCCCGGCATGCACTGGGCCTCAAGCCCCTCCCTGCGCCGAACCATAGAGAGGAGGCGGTGCGCTGGGCATTGGGAGCGCTCAGGGTTCGGGAGCCGCCGGGATTGGAGGGACAGGAGGGACTGGAGAGTTCTGGACCCCGGACCGAGAGGTGCCCTTCCAGGCACGGGGCTGAGTGCAAACGGGCAGAGACAGCCAGCCCGCCTCAGGTCAGGTCAGGCACACGCGAGGGGC